AAAAAAAAAAAAAAAAAACACAAATAACAAAAAACGTAAAAACACGAACAAACAACAGCAATGCACAGAAACACACAAGGACACAAAAAGATAACAAAAAATATTAAAAGAATTCACAAAAACACATAAAGACACAAAAATGCACAATAAAGATTCAAACACACACAAAAGCTAAACAGTAATACACCCAAAAACATGAAAACAAACACAAAACAACTTAAAAAAAACATAAAAACAGACACTGAAAGGCACAAAAATGCAAAGGAAAACAAAATCGTACCCACAAAACACATTAACACGCAAAAAAACATGAAACAAATACACACAAAAGACTGAAAAATGCACAAAAATGCATAAAAAAACTGTAAAAACACTAAACAACAACACAAAAACAGACAAGACACAAAAAACAATCAACAAAAAAATACTGCGAGGATTCACAAAAGCACAAAAAGACACAAAAACGCAAAACATAAAAAAATAAAATGCACCCCAAAACACAAAAATGAACAAAAACGCAAAAACCAAAAGTGAAACACGTACAAAAACCCACACAAACACAAAAACACAGTGTACGCTCACGAAAACACAATTAATGTATTTCTGCAGAGTATTGATGCCATGACTACCTATGAACATGTATGTTTAAATATATACCACTACTACTACTATTAGTACTACTACTACTACTATTAGTACTACTACTACTCCTCATAACAACAATAACAGTAGTAGAACCGTGAAACCCTCACAGGAGCTCTTGAAGTCCTTCTTCTTGGCCTTCCTCCTCATCAGCGTCCCCCGAGGACTCGTGGGATACATGTTCCGGGGCAGCGTGCTCATGTTGAGCGAGGACAGGCTGTAGGCCGACATGGACCCGGGCGAGAACGAGTGGCTCAGCGCTGCAGACAGACAACAGCGTCAGAACATCCTGCCTTCAAAATAAAACGCCAGACAGACATACAGAGAGAGAGAGGGCGGGACGTACGAGGGTTGTTTGTATGGCGGTTGTGCGATCTGGCGCCTGATTGGTCGGGGTGGTACGTGTTGTAGTGGTAGGGGGGGAGGATGGGGGCGGAGCCTCCGGTCTCCCAGGGGAGGGGGCGGGGACTACGCTGCACCTTGACTGCACACACACACACACAGGGACACACAAACAGAGGAGGTGTTCAGGTTAGGACAGGAGGGTCAGAGGTCAGAGGTCAGGACGTGCTTCTGTGTCCACATGGAGGAGCCTCAGGCGGCCATTTTGGCTCTATCAGGACGGTTTCACCCTCCGAACAAAACAACAAACAAAAAAAAAAAGCTGAATTGACACTGTAAAAAACACCAGAATCCCATCTTTCTGACGGTCCTTGAACTGCTCGTCTGTGATGTTCGGTTTTTATCAGGAAAAGCTTCAAAATCACTTTATTCTACGTTTCGTTTGAAAATTCTCCAAAAATAAACGGTTTGTGGGAACCAGATTCTGCGAAAAACAAAAAATTCTGCACTCGCTAACACAGCTGAGGAGCCACAACTGACTCAGATCTGACCGACAGTCATGTGACTAAAACTCTTAGAGTGTTCACCTGAACTGCAGCTAGTGTTTCCACAGAGCAAAAAGACAAGCATGGTAACTCGTTGAACCTGTAAATATTAAAATATCTACAGCAGGTAGAGTCCAACATTTGTCCTGTTTTGGAACTGTGCAAATGTTGGATATTTTTCTGTTGTTTTTTTTTTTTCAAATTTTGTAAAATAATTAAATAATGAGAGAAATTCAACTCCACAAAGACGCAGGACTTACTGTGGCCGAGAAAAATGAGACAACAGTGAAAAAAAATGAGAAAATAGTAAAAAAAAAAAAAAAAGCAAAAAACTGGAGTTCAGAGGGTTAAATCGTACGTTTATTCCAACTAGCTTCATTTTCCAGCTGTTGTGCCAGATGTGCATTATTATCTGAGGCTTCTACATGTTCATATGTGAGCAGGATAAAAGATTACTTATTCATGCAATCTTTTATATACGTTAATAATTCATTTCCGTCTTTGTTTTTAAACTGCTCTTCTGCCACATGCATGGAATCCTTGTTTATATTTTCCGTGTGAAGCTGCAAACACAAGAAACATTACAGATGCCACTAAAACTGGGTAACATGGAAAAGTTCAGGGTAGAAAAGAACATTTTATTATTTATTCACACAAATACGAAAGACAAAATGAAAGAAATAAAGCATTTCTGTGTTCAGAGACTCTGCTGCTGCAGTAAAACACTGAGATCAGCTGCTGGGTCTTTATTTATAGTATGTTGTGGTGCGTTCAAGGACCACTAGGTTTCATGTGTTCTGTGTTTATACCGTGCTGCGGTGTATTCAAGGTCCATTAGGTTTGGCATGTATATGCTCAATCTGTGTTGTGGTGCATTCAGGGTCCATTAAGTTTGATGTTCATGTGTTTAAACCATGCAGTGGTGCATTCAGGACCACTTGAGTGTGTTTTATGTGTGCATATACTGTGCTGTGGTGCATTCAGGGCTTCTCCAGTGTGCTACATATATATGTTTATATTGTGTTGTGGTGTGTTCAGGGCCTCTCCAGTGTGTTATATGTGTTTTACCGTGCTGTGGTGCGTTCAGGGCCGGTCGGGCCTGGTGCTGAGGCAGGATCTCCATGCGGACGGTCTGACAGGAGGCGGAGAGCAGCTGAGTGGCTTCAGCCAGAGAACAAAACTCCATCGACTTCCCGTCGACAGACAGAATGTGATCTCCTGCGTGAAGAGCGCCGCACCTACACAACAACACAACAACACAACAACACAACAACACCCACAAAGACACAAAAACATAAACAAGAAGATCAGAGACTCCTGAGAAATACAACAAAATAAACCTTAGAATATGTAAACATAAATACTAAATCTAACAGAAGCGGACCCAGAGGCTGCGGGTCTCGTACCTGTCGGCTATGCTGGCCGGTTTGACCTTGTCGATGATGATGACCTGCTTGCTGCAGAACATGGAGGTGGAGAGAGCCACGCCCAGACTGGAGCCTGTCGCCTTGGCAACCTCCACCAGCAACGGCCCCGACGCCGTGGCAACAGAGTCTGAGGGGCAGGAAACAGGCTTTTTTACAACCAAGGGTTTAAACGGAGTCCCACAGGGTTCCATCCTGGGTCCTCCTTAAGTTCATCTCAACGCAACGTTCAGTCAGATCGTTTTATTATTAACAATCACAATGTTTCAAATCCTGAATATGCAGATGACACTCAGTTGTACTTAATACTTTCTAATCATGAATTTCATCCTATTTTTTTTACGTATTTAACATTTAGAACTCCATAAGGGGAAACATGAAATTGTTTTTGGTTCTACAAAAACAAGTAAAACATTGCTGCCTTGTTGGGTTGATTGTTTATATTTTGGGGTTCTTTGGCCTTAATTTAACTCTTAAAAGGTAAGTTATCACCAAACTAACAACATGTATCAGCCAGAAACTGTAAAAACTCAAGGAATTGTTGTATTTTAACATTTTCAGACTGTATTTGAACTTCTTGTTTGTAACGTGTCATTAAAACCGTAAAACTAGTCTTATTCAAGTATTTGAAACCTAAAAAACCTAAAAATTCTGCAGTGCACAAAGCAGAGAAGTAGGGAAACGAATTAAAAATGTAAATAGTAAAACATCTTTTGTATGGGAAGCCTACATTTTTTCAGAGCTGGTAACTCTTGTAGACACTTAGGAAAATGTTGTACATGTTAATCCCAGGTGCTTTCAATTTTTATGAACTGAATAATCAATCAAAACCTACTTTTTACGATTTTTTTATGATTTGTTTGATTCTAACTGCGTCATTCTGACACATCTCTGAGTTCTTTCTGCTTCTTCACGGTTATTCTGATCCTACAGAGCTGTAGGACTTTATGCTGCAGTGAAAAATGAGCCACAGTGAAGGAAAACATGAAAGTAGAGAGTCAGTAAAACCACTACCATTGAACTGACCCATGACGGAGACGTCGTACTCGATCAGCAGCGTCGCTTCCTGCCCGCACTGCTTCAGGATGCTCATGGCCTCGGACAGCGTGCTGCCGTGGAGACGAATCCCGTCGATGCTTAGCAACCGATCGCCCGGCTTCACGGTGCCTTCCCTGCAGAGAGAGAAGACTTCAGTTTCTATGGAAGCTCCCGAGGGTCAAAAAGCTGCCAGGCGGGTCGGGAGGTCACGTACCGGTCGGCCGGACCGCCGGGCCGGATGGTCGTTATGACAATGGGCCGAGACTTGTTCCGGTCTTCGTGGGCTCCGCCTGCAAACACGACGTCACGCATTTGAAACATCTTTATTGACATCTGACACACGGACAGACAGAGCGACTGCTCACCTCTGATGACGAAGCCGAAGCTGTTTCCTTCTTTGTGAAGCGTCACCTCCACGTTCTTGAACATGACGCCTGAACCCTGGACGGCTGCAACATCAACAACAACAACAACAACAACAAGTGTTTATAGGATTCATGGAACACTCACATCTAAATATCTACTTATTGGACTTATTTCAGACCTGCCACAGCGTCATAAAGGCAAAAAAGACTAAATAAACCACACAAAATGAAAAGAAACCTGTCCACACATCTCATATTTGACCATTTCCTGTTTAGAAACCACAACAACACCTTCACTGTTCATCTCTTTTTGGGATATTTTGTTAAACATAGAAACACATACGTCCATATGACTGACTGTGGATGATTATACGAATAACTACACTAAAAATAACACCTGAACACACCTAAACATGCCTTTGCTTTAGTTGAATATGGATAAATAAATCAATAATTCTATACATATCTGGAAAGAAATGCACATCTAGATGACACATCACACTGCTGAGGGCTGAACCACGAAGGAAGTTCAACATATCCGGGCTTTGTTTGAGTTAGCTGGATAAACAAAACCCAAAACCTCAGTCAGAGACGATCGGTATCACTCAGTGCTTCTTTATCAACCAGATTTTCTTTATTAAGCTCCAATAAAATTCAGTGTTTGAGGCATCGTGTGATTCTTCTGCACAAAATGGACCAATCGTGTGTCGCATACTGAACTCAACACGTTGTTTTAATTGAGAATATAAAGAATATAAAACATTTATTACGGTAAAAGGCTGGTAGAAAACTGTTAATAGTTTTCATTTAAACGTCAACATTTAGGTCCGACAGTGTCCCATAATGAAGGAGACGTAGGAAGAACGTTAGTTTTTGGCCAAATCAAAGTGAAATTAACATTATTGATTCTATTTTGTCTGTGGTAAATACCAATAATCAATCAGTTTATGGAAGAATCGGTGCACTATCATTGGTTTTTAATCTGTAGAAATGTAAAATATGTTCACATCCAGTGGAATTTGCAGAATTCTCACATATGGTGGAATTTTTTGTTTATTTTTATATTCTCTGTTGCTGCTGTAATGCTGCAAATTTCTCTACATTCATATAAATAAAGGCTCATTTTGTTACATCTTAGTCTAAGTTCTATCAGCTGCAGTGTCAAACGTTCTTGGCAGCAAGTCAGGAACAAGAATAAAAACACTATGATGCGTTTCTGCTGAATGGTTTGTGGATAAAACCTCTGAACCTTGACGAGAACCTCCTCCAGAGCAGGCTAGCTGCGCAGCATCAGTTACCATGGAGATCTAGCAGGTTAAAAAAGGTCCTGGAAGCTCAACTTTTAGGCTCGACACACCTGCGAACTCACTGATCTCACTTTGTAATGCAGCCCTCGGCTTTACTCTCGGCGCTACCGACGGGACTTACAGACGGGCGGCAGCTCGTACTCGACCTCCAGGACGACTCGCTCGCCGACGTTCTTCAGCAGACTGATGATCTCATCGTGTCTGAACTTGGCCAGGTTGATGCCGTTGACGGAGCGGATGTAGTCGCCCACGTTCAGCTGGTCGCTCCTGAGCAAACAGACAGAACCTCCGCTCAGTTCGGCTTTAATATTTGATGCCGCATCTCTGTTTAATTCAAAACTTGTTATAAACTCCTCTGTTGGGTCCTGTAGGGACGTTAATGATTAATCGATTAATTACTGGAAGTAATTTAACCCATTGAAACATATTAAGCCATTAAACAGAAGAAAAAGCAGCTTGTACAGACCAGTATACACCCCGACATACAGTCAACACCTTTTTACTGTTTGCTTTTTTTTACAGATTCTAGTTATTATTTTCATTTTTTTTGCAGTGTAAGATTTGCTGCTTTCAGCTACGACATCTGACACCAGCCAACAATCTCTCTAAATATCAACATCTAAAAACCTTTTCAGCCAGTTTCAGTAAACAGCAAAAAAGAGCTACATCAGTCGATCCAAAGAGCTTCGGTTCAGTTCTTTCCAACAGAAACCAGACTTTAAATCGTACTAAACACTAATAAGACTGGAGAAAGTGTTACCTGGCAGCGATGCCTCCTTGTCGCAGGTTTGAAACCCGAGGCTTCCCATCTTTGTCGATTCCACCCGACACCGTCAGTCCGAGCGTCGTCCCCTCCTTCTTCATCAGCTCCACCACCGAACAGCCCCGAAACTCATCTACAACCAGGACGTCTGATTAGAAATCACTTTTACTGCCGTCCTGCGCTTCAATTTATTCCCCTTCCTCCGTCTCTGCAGCCTGATTTCATCGTTTCTAATCTCCTTTTCCCAGCGCAGAGAAATAAAATAATAATCCGGACAAAGAGAGGAGTGAAGTCATCCTCTATTCTGTCGTCCATTTATATTTTATCAAATGCCTGAAATATTAAACAGCTGGAGAGATGGATGGAGAGAGAGGGAGATATTTCAGTTTAGGCCAGCTACTGTGTGAAGTGACCAGTCCTCAGGTGATAAAACAGAACGCAGCGTTTCATAAATGTGCTGTATTTTAATATTAATCCAGAAGAGCGTCACCCTCTTCCATTCAGACACGATTAAGACATCTGATCTTCGGCATTGACCATCATTGTCTTCTCCTCCTCCCTCGTCTTCCTCCTCCAAAGAGGCTTTATAAAAAGCAGCAGTGTCCTTTTCAACTTTTCCAGCACACCAGCGCTGACTCACAGCGGGAAACAGAAAAACCTCCAAATCTTCGATTCTGATAAAACGTCACATGAACCAGTTTCCTGCAGCGACGAGGGAGAAACTTCTGAAAGCATCGCTCCACAGAACGCCGGTTAGAGGAGCTCAAGTACAACAAAGTTTCTCTCAAAAGATCAGAGTTGTGTCAAAGCTGCACAGTTTACTCTCAGCCTGAGATCTGCTCGGATTCTGAACTTCCGACGAAGCGTTTAGAAGCTCTACCAGTTTCTTTATGTGGCTCTGGAACTCCACCAGTTCATCTACTAGCTGATTCCAAAGCTCCACCAGTTCTCCTAACTAGTTCTGGAGCTCTAACTAAACCTCTGACTGGTTTCAAAGCTCTTGCAGTTCAAAACTCTGCTCGTTTCTGAAACTGGTTAAGAAGCTCAACAAGTTCCTTTACATTAATCTGACTGTCTTCTACCTCTGTTAACTGGTTCTGAAGTTCAGTTAGTTCCTTTACCTGGTTCATACCTGTACCAGTTGCTCTTACCAACGTTAAACCCTTACTGTTTTCTCTAAATGGTTCAAGAGCCTCACCAGCTCATTTACATGGTTCAGAAGCTCTACCAGTTCTTAACAAAGGTCTAGAAGCTCAACCAGTCCCTACAACCAGTTCAAAGGCTCTTCCAGTTTCTCACAGTGGTTCAGAAGATCTACCCATCACTTATGTTTGTTCAGGGGAAATGAGTAGATCCAGCCAGTAAATTAAACTGGTTAAAGAGCTCCCCGTGTTCCTCTTACTGGTTTAGAAGATCCACCTGATCCTCACAGTGGTTCAGAAGCTCTACCAGGTCCAGTAGGACTCTGTATCCGTTTGCTGCAATCGGTTCTAAAGCAGTTCCTGGACATGAGGTTTCACCGGATCCTCTAACCTCCCATAACTTCTACCAGTTCTTCCAACTGGATCCAAAGCTCAACTGGTTTGTCTTCGCTGGCTCACTAACATCACCAGATCCTCTGTTTCATTAAGTAGCTCTGAAACTGCATTGGTTTTCTTCACTGGTTTACACCTTTCAAACTGGTTATCCACCTTGGTTAATTCGTTGCGAGTTACCCTCTCTGGTCCTGAACATCTAAAAATCGTTTAGTTCAGTTGGTTCATGTACCTGGTTCTTAAGTTGTGACTTTTACTCTAACAGGTTTCAAAGCTCTACCAAACTCTCTAACTAGTTGAGACGCTTTAACTTGTCTGGACATCTACTTATTTAGGACGAAGTACAACTCCTCTAACCCACCAGTAACTATAACTGGTTTAAAAACGCTACCACTTCTACGCACTGGTCTGATGCTCTGCTAGTTCACTGGGTGCAAAGTTTTACCCGTTTCTCTAAGGTTTGCCAACACCTACACAAACAGTGGGCTCAGAGGTTCTCCATCACAGCTTTAGCTCCCTTTCATCTTTTAAACCCGACTGTGTTTGCAGATCATGGGTGTGATTTCCTCACAGCGTTCCTGATTGCACCATTCAGACAGAAATCACAAGTAGGCCACCAGCTCCAGGTGGAAGCAAACAAACTGCGACGGCAAGCATCTTCCTGCAGGTCACAGGACGGAAGACATCAGCTGTATGTGTGCTCTACTTTCAGCCGTTACCTTCATCGCTTTGTTCTTTATCTCTGGCGGTGAAAACCACAAAGAAACAGACTGTCGTGGTGATGAACGTGTTACCTGGTATACTCTGCCTCCTGATGGCCAGCGCTCCATCTGGAGGTCGCGACCCGGCAGAGTGTTTCGTGTACGGCCCCTCATCTGCAACACAAAGAGACACAAAAACAAATTACTAAGCAGAGTGACAAACATGCACTGGTTTAGAGGTTTTATCAGGTTCCACCAGTTCCTTTCACTGGTTCTAAAGTTCTACCACGTCCCCCTTCAAGACCCACCAGCTCACTTAACTCACATTGAATGTCTGCAAGGTTCTCTACCAATTCTTCCACAGACAGGTTCCATACTGCTACTACTCCCTCTGACTGGTCTACCAGTATCCATAACGGTCTCCAAGACCTCAGCACTTTCTTTGAGTTGGTTAGAAACATCAACAGTTCCCAGAAACAGTTTCTTTCTCCACTCCAAGAGGTAATTAGCTCTGAGGCTCCGTTACTTTATATATCTGGTCCCAGACCTTTATTTGCTCTGGTTTCCAACAGCAACCTGCTCCGTAGCTGGATCCAAAGCTCTCCATCTAACAGGTTCTGGAGCCCGACCAGTTCCTTGAAATGGTTTAACAGCGTTCTTTGACCAGTTCTTTTAGCATCACCTGAATGGGTCACCTGCTCGTTTACTACCAGGTTATATAACTGGTTCCATCAGCTCCTCAAACTGGCACCAAACCACGACCTTTAAGTGGTTCTGAAGCTCAACCAGTTTCACTAACTGGTTCCTATAACTGTGCCAGAAAACTCTTACAGCGCTTACTGGTTCTCAGCTCCACAAGATCCTTTAAATTTTGAGGCTTTCCACCATTTCTCTTACTGGTTTCCAAAACTCTGCCAGTTCCAATTCATAACCCTAACCTCTACCAGTTCATCTAACTGGTTCTCTAGCTCAACCAGTTCCTTTCATTGGTATAGCTATTCTGGCAGTGCCCCTAAAAGATTCAACACATTGCCAGTTCCTTTACTGGTTTTGAAGCTCTCACAGTTCCTTGCACTGGTTCTGAAGCTTGACTAGTTTCTCTACAAACTCATCTAACTGGTTCTAGAGTTACTTTAACTGGTATAGCTATTCTAACAATGCCCCTGTCCGAATCTAAATATTGACCAGTTTCTTGAGATGGTTCTTCACTTCCACCAGTTCCTCTAACTGGTTCCAAAGCCCTGCCAGTTCCAATAAACAGTTTCAAACATTTACCAGCTCATACAACTGGTTCTGATGTTCCACAAATTACTCTAACTGGGTCCAACGTTCTGAACGGATCAGACAATTTAACGGGTTCTGTGGCTACTGGGGTTCTCGTACTGGCTCTAAACATTGTCCATGAACTCAGACAGAAACCAATTCCCATAATGCATCAGTACTCACCATCATCATCAGACAGTGCAGAACTTCCACCACAAAAATACATGTCAAGCTAAAAAGCTAGCCCGTTAGCATCCTCCACTTCAGGCCATGCTACCTACTAGCAGCTAACAGAGCTGTGAAGGAGCTGCCTTGTTTCTCAAAACCACTTAAATGTGTTCTTTGCTGTGTGAAGCAGCTGCTGAGAAGTCTGACAAGTCAGCCTCATGAATAAAGAAACCGCTGCCAAAGAGGTGACCTCATCGGCGCAGCGACCAATCCCTGTGGAGAACGAGGTGGTGGTCTCTCTACGTCTGGACCAATCTCTGCAGTCCTGTGGGAAGCCCCCGGTGATGTCATCACATGGATGAGACTTTCATTTTTCTTTTTTTAACGAGAGCAGAGGCGGAGCTAAAGCATGATGTCATATAGCTGAGTCTGCAGATGTCTGATGAGTGTTTCAATCAGATGATTGAGCACTTTGTGGTTTAAGTAAAACCTCAACAGGTACATGTGCAACTTGGGACTTTTTGCTTATTTTTTTACACTGTTGGTTTATTTTTTCCAACAACATAAAGTCCTACACGTCTACCTGGAGCAGATCCATGGCTAGAAGCAGAAGAAACTCAGAAACGTCTTATGTGTAGTACGACTTAGTTAGAATGCCATCGAAAGTAAACCAAATCAGAAGTATTTACAAAAATCCAAGAAGTGCTACTAACACTGGACAAATAGTGGCTCCCGTCTTATAGATATTCAACGTTTTAGATTGTAATTAGTCTCCACATTTGTCTGAATAAACTGTGGCTGTAGTCTTTGCTGTCCACCTCTACGTTCTGATTCAGGCTCAAACATGTGGATCAAGGTGATAATTTACCGTTTGCATTAAAAAAACAGAGAAATTATGTGACTACAAAGGTCCAGAGTTTGCTTTCAGAACATCCACCCCAGCATGAGGATCCGGTGCTGCTCACAGGAAAAGGCTTCCGTAAAACCTGCCAATCAGAAGGCTGGGGGCTTTTAGGGAGGAGGGCGTGTCTTAAAGAGACAGGAGCTAGTGTCACCTGTTCTCAGGCAGAAACTCGACTCAGCGGCAGCATAACAGGGAGTCAGAGATAAATAAGGGTTTTATTCAAGCATGAGTCATGCAAATCGACTCTGATGGAGTCCCAGAATAAGAACATTCAGCCAGAAATGAGCTTATTAGGTCTCATTTAATCAAATTCTAATCCAGCATCCAGTTATTGAATCTGAACCTTCCTCCTGAAGAGGGAGTTTGGTGCTGAAGGTTCATTTGGAAAGACACTCACTGGTTCTGACTGCTGAAATGTCATATTAAATACTGAAATTGATTTTTGCATAAAGCCAGAAATGTGGATTTGACCACTTTCGCTGCATATTGATAAGACTCCCTCTCCCTGGTTGTTGCTGCGTTGGTCCTTTTTCTGCTTGCGGTTTGTTTTATTTCTCTTAACTGTAGCGTTTTTCCATTTCGGTCGTGTGTTTGGTTCGACTTTATTCCGTCCTAATTTATTCTAATCTGCTCCGGATCTGTTCTGTTTGGCTGAGCTGGGAAGCACAATGAGACTCTGAAAACAGACACACAGCTGCGTTTCCACCACTTCAGAGGACATCGCATTGACTTGCGCTCTTTTCTCGGGGATCTGCCAACTCATAGCGACTGCTTTTCAAAGCCCAACCTCGAACTCGACCTTAAATCGAATCTTCACGCTAAAATTTGAAGATTCATCGAAGTGACGCTTGCTTTGCGTCCCCAGAAGGACGAGGAGTCTCCACAGTGTGACTGTGCGAACACACTGAGGTCCCCATAATATAAGCAAAGCCAGCGCGCACACACACACAGACCATAGCTAAGTGAAGATGAAAGCCGAGCCTCCTCCTCCTCCTCCAGATGTAGGACAGCAGCATCTCTGCCTCTCTGCCTCCATCGACAATACAATCTGTATGTACACACACACACATATATATATATATATACTGTAGAATACTACACGCTTCACATGGCCGTTATATAACCTATATGTTATTTTAGAGCATGTTATTGAGCTGTGATTGTCTAAACGAGGTCACACGCCATCCACCAACCACCTGTAGACCACCGCTTCAGCCCAAGCAGCGCTGCCCGCAGGCAAGAAAAGTAACGGCGGGAACGTAAACGGAAAAACGACAAAAATAATAAAAGTCACCTGGATTCAACAGTAGTACATACAGTAGTTGTAAAAATGGTGGTAGTAGAAAAAGGTCACCTACAAGCTATGACAATAACAACAGCAAAAAGACTATAATAATAATAACAATAATAATAATAATAATAAAACATGCCACCCAGAGACAAAAGCAGGAACAACAGTAAAAGGACAATAAATGTTAAAATGTCAATAATAACACTGGGTTACAAAACAATACTTTGTTGAAGGTGTCTAGGATTGACGTCTGCTTTTCTGCATCAGGTCGGGTTTTTATGCCAACTCAATGTAAAAAAAATCGATTTTGCCACTAAATCGATCACATTTTTGACATTAGCGATTGATTTATTTGAGTATTTCTTATATGAAATGGGGTTTTAGAGGAAAAATTTCATTTTCTAATCCTCTTCACAAGCGAAATGATCCACAAGTTGATGAGCGTAAACATTTGTAAAGGTAAATACCAGTAAACTGCATGTGGCGACAAATCAAAACGTTGACCTCCTTGAGCAAAACCAATGTGATACTTGGATTCAGTGCATTGCAATTGTCCAAAATCAGCTCAGAAATCTTTGACACCAAAATGGGTGTAGACCAGTGTAATAATAATAATAATAATAATAATAATAATAATAATAATAATAATAATAACAACAAACGCCACCTACAGGTAAGAAAAGTAAGAACAGAAATGTAAAAATGACAAAGATAAAGGCCATCTGTAGGCAATATAAGTAAATGTACTAATAAAAATGTTAAAAATCTGGTCGTGTGATAAAATCTTCATGTGGAGTCGAGCTCATAGTTTTATTTTTTCAGAGAACACACTTCCACTTCCATTTACAATCACTCTGACAAAATGTCCCAAAGTTAACATTTGATGTTTCACAGCTGAAAAGTGTTTTTACTTGTATATTTAATATCCACCGAGACTCGGCGTGACACAGCGATGTTCCATTTTTAATTCTCATATTTATAGAGCTCCTCCAGACACGTTCAAAGATATATGAAAACACTCGGCGGCGGCGATATAACAGAGAAAGCCTCCGACGCTTCGGACACAGCAGAGCAGCAGTAACTTTCTTTGCTTTTACAGTTATCTCCACTATCTAACTTTAAATGGCAAAGTAGGAAGACGTCTTCCAGCTTCAAATGGCGCACAACTAACTCATTAGAGTTATTCTCGGTCCTGATCCGGGGAGTCGTGCTGGAGGATTTCCGTTCTTACAGCTTAATTGGCTTCCAGTGGAGACTCAACATATTCAAGTGTTCACTGTTATTTCTGTAATTAAGAGGAATCGAGAAGGTGGGCGGACAACGGCGTCAGGCTGGGCTCTCTGTAGATTTTAGTCAAAGACGACTCAAGACTCTCGTGTAACTCTGGAACAATCAAAAGACAAGCGCCGGCTGATGAATGACCGTCTTCTAAAACCCATTTCTGCATCGCGTGGACGTCTTCACATTCATGACAAGTTGCCCGTTTCAGATCATTTAAACGCAGCTCTTTATAAAGCTACGAATATATGAATGAATTCAGGAGTTTAATTCACATGTTAAACTCGAGAACGCCGTCATCCGAACCTCCACTGATGTTTGTTTGAACTCTTCTTAAACTATTTAAGACTAAAACTGACGATAAATCGATTCGTTGCCATTAAATGTGTTGACAACTATGTGAAAATTCGTATTTTTTTCCCTCCGCTATCACAATTAACTGAATATTTTTGGGTTGTCGACAAAAACAGACATTTGATATCTTGTACTTTGTGAAACATGGAAACCAGAAACCAAACAAGAAATCCAGAAAATAACTGACATTAATCTAAAATGAAACTACATCAGTAGCAGCCCTGTTTCAGTCGACGGTTTGAATTAGACGCTTCAGTTATTTGTAGCTAAGTGTTAGTAAAATGTTTTTACCACTTACTTTCAGTTTCTTTCATTATGTACAGCATCGATTACTTTAAGCTAACTACATCAACAGTTTTCCTACAACGTTTAGCTAATTAACCAATAATTATCCACCACTCTGACCTATTTTAACCATTCTCCCATGTTTAGCTTCTTGCTGCCATTTAACTGCTAACCTTTCCTTGTAGCCAATAAACTACTGTGTTTAACCATTTGTCCGTCATTTTTTAATTAGCAGTTTTAACCATTCATCCATTTTTAGCTTTAACCATAACTTAATATCCATTCAGTCATTTATCTGATATGTTTAGCCCCTGCTGCTAATGGTTATACTTCAACAGCTACTCATTACTTTCAGCTGTCCATTTCAACTATTTTTTCTGAATTGTCTATTATTTTTCAGTTCATTTGACCTGTTTTAATCACATTTATCCACATTAGCCATTCATCCAACACCTTCAGCTGTATTCACTATTTACCTGCTATCCATTACCTTAGCTAACAGTGTGAAATGTTTTTAACCATTTCAAACAGTTTGAACCTTGTAACAACCAGTTAGCTGTTCTACTGTAAAATCTACTCAAACAATTTACCCAATACCTTTAGCTGCTGCTGCTAACGGTCCTCTTTTAATTCCAGTTATTTACTTCTATCGAACAATTTCCACAATTTTAACCATTTGTCCATGATCTCTTAAATTCAACATTACCTTCTTTACCAACACGTTAACCATTTATCCAATACTTTAAACCAATGCTTCACCTGAACCATTTCCACAGTTTTCAGTCAATCGTCCATTCCTTTTAATGCATTTCATCTTTTGAACCATTACTTTAATATCCACTTGAACATTTTATCCAGTGCTTTTAGCTGCTGCTGCTACTTTCCACCATGATTTCAACATTTCAACCATTTCTCCATGACTTTTCAATTCAATGTTCCCTTCTTTACCAACACTTTAGCCATTTATCCAACACTTTTAGCCACTGCTGCTACGTGTCTCCATTCACCTGCTGCTGATTACCTCTAGCCAACCATTTCCACTGTTTTTAACCAATCGCCCTTTACGTTTCAGTTCATTTTACCACTACTTTAATATCCACTCGAACAATTTATCCAATACCTTTAGCTGCTGCTGCTACTTTCCACCATGATTTCAACATTTCAACCATTGTAACCATGATTTTCCAGTTCAATATTCCCTTCTTTACCAACACTTGAGCCATTTATCCAACACTTCCGTCTGTCCCCTTCATCGTTAGCAACCTGCTAGCACTTTCCTGCCCTGTCAGTGTCACATCAGCCGAGCTTCACTACTTTGAACCGGTCTTCTCGTCTCGTCTCTGCGCGATAGAGACACGAGATTACAGGTAAATCCAACATCAAAACTGAAAGCAAACACCTGAAGCTTCGCGACTTTTCGGGGAGGGTTTTCAGAAAACCACAACCCCGTCTGTCTGCCCTGCTTCCTCTCCCGTCCATCCTGTTAATACACACCATGAATATTGCATTCATGGAGATAAGAACTGATGCTTTCTCTCTCTCTCTCCCTCTCTGAGCTCTCGGCTACTCTGAAGGTCTCTCGCCCCACGACGACCTGCAGCCATCGACTGAATGAATCCATCACAGGATCATTTACAAACGGCGGCTTCGCTCACAAACAACCAGCTCGCTCTCTTTTCAATGTCAGCAGTTTGCGGCGGATGACGCTCGACCACACATGCATGTTCTGAAGCACATCACACGTCCACTCTCTCTCTCTCTCTCTCTCTCTTCCTCCCAGTGCATCCCTATGTCGCTCTACCTTTGTTCACCCTGCGCAGGATCTGGCAGCGACATTTAAACGACACGGCGATCATGGTGAAGCCGAGCCGAGCGTCGCCTCCCCCCCCGGCGCCATGCAGATGCAACCGCCGGGAAAAAAACAAACAAAAAAAAACTCTACACCTCCCCGCTGCTGCTCCTCCTCCTCCTCCTCCTCCTCTTCCTCTTCCTCCTCTTCCTCGTCACCTCTGCCGGCGACCGAATGACGAACGACCTCCTCAGACGGAATCCGGCGGCGATGCTCGGCAGCCGAGCGACAGAGGAGGGAGGAGGCAGCGGGGGGAGGAGGAAGAGGAAGAGGAGGAGGCAGCGCTGCAGATGTGAAGCTCCTCCATTAAAACCAGGCAGAGCGGGGGAGGAGGGGGGGAGGCAGAGTCTGCGCAGATGGGAGGCTGAAGAGGATGATGATGGGAGGAGGAGGAGGAGGAGGGGTGATGCTGATGGAGCGAGGAGGAGGAGGAGTGTTTGTGCAGCTGGATGGACGGATGAAGGATGCAAAGAGAAAGATAAACGCAACAGATAGAGAGGTGAAGGGATGAAGGAGAGGAGGTTAAGGAAGGGAAGGAGGAGGAGGGTTCAGAAAGGAAGGAAGGAAGGAAGGAGGAGAAAAGGAATCAATGGAGGGAAAAGAAGGAACGAAAAGGACCAGGAAGAAAACGGAGAGAATAAACTAAGTGGAAGAAGGAGAGAGAAGGAACGAATGAAGGACTGAAGGAAGTGAAACTGAAAGTGAAAACGAAAACAATGAAGGAAATAAAAGAGGAGAGGAGAGTAGGAAGAAAGGATAGAAAGAAAAATGAAGGGAACACAGATGAAGAAAAGGAATAGTTAAAGCAAAGGAAATGTGAAAGAAAAGGAGGAGAAGACTGATGAAGTGAAGGAAATAAGAGGATTAGGAGGATGGAAAGAAGAAACTAGGTGGAAGGGGGAAGGAAGCTGGGAAGGAAAGGAGAGAAAAAAGGAATAAAAAAAAGGAAGGATGGAAAGAAAAAAATGGAACACGAATGAAGAGAAGGAATGAATGTAGGACTGAAGGAAGTGAAAATGAAAGTGAAAATGAAAATAATGTAAGGAAAAGTGGATAGAAGAAATGAAAGTAAAGAAGGAATGAAGTAGAAGAAAAGAGGAGCGAGAGAAAAGGATGGAAAGTAAAGTGAAAGGAACACAGACGAAGAAAAGGAATCAACAGAGTTAAAGCAAAGGAGGGAAGGAAGGAAACATGAAAGAAAAGAAGGAGAAGACCGATGAGAACATGGAAATAAGGAATTAAGTGGAAGGAAGGAGGAAGCTGGGAAGGAGAGGAAAGGAATAAAAAATGTAGCAAGAGAAGGAGTGATTGTAGGATTTAAGGAAGGAAAGGAGAGAAGATGAAGGAACTTAATGGAAGGAAAGAAATATAAAGAGAAGGAAGAGGATGAACGATGAGGTGAGAAGAAACTGAAAGAAAGACAGACGAGGCAGAAAGAGAAGAAAGAAACAAAACGGATGGAAAGGAAAGGAAAGGAGACGAGGATGGAGAGAAGGAAAGATGAAAATAAGTGAAAGTGAAAGTAACAAAATAAAAGCATGAAGGAAGTATGGCCAGTAATCTATTACTACGAGAGAATACAGACTATTATTCCTCCTACATTTCCCATGATGCACGGCGGCAGGTTTTCTTCCTTCTCAGACATGAAGATGCAGAACTGCTGCTTCATGAAGCCTCAGAGTGACTCATTCACACATTTATTATTACATATTTATGTTTACATTATATATAGACGCTGCGTTTGACTGTGAACACTGAAGCGTGAACAACACGTTGAAGGCTATAGACAGATAAATAAATATATGTGATGTTATTCATGCAGCGTCTGACACGTGAAGCTGTTTGTTTGAGACTCTATTAATCTGGTTAATCCGTCTGTTGGCTCTAATCTAGCGTCCGTCGTTACTGAACATCAGCAGCTTGTTATGTCTGCTGCTGTCTGTCCACCAAAATCTGAGCTTCTTCCTGCACACGGGATGTTTTTTTCACTATATTTCTAAAGTTTAACATAATTAGTGACAATTAAACTGAAAAACAGAGTTTGTCCCAGTAAGCGCTGATTAAAACTTTCATTCATAAAACACAGAATTATGCAAAACACCTCATTTAACAAACATATTTATGTGTTTTTCAGTTAATTGTCACGAATTATATCTAAAAACAAATTTAAACTTGACTTTAACACGTTCATCTCTTAAACAAAAAGGAAATCTTTGTGAAATTACAATAAATTTGCACATGTTCTGCCTTTTATGTCATAAAAATGTCACTTTTCTTTAAAAAAAAAAAAAAATTTTAAGGTGATTCATATTTTGTAATTAACATGGATTTGCTATTTCACAGATTTTTTTGTTGATTTTGAGAATAAAAAAAAGGAAAAGAAAAATAAATGAATATATAACGTTTTGTTTCGTCTGATGATATTGAGTTTACTGTCATCAAGAAGCAAAAGACGTGAGAAAATATCCACATTTAAGCAGCTGCAGTCTGAGCGATTAGTGTTTTATTAAAGTCAAAAATAAAAAGCAGTTGTTATGGAGTCGTTGTGGCTCAAGCAGACACCAATTACAAAAATAATTAAAATTAAAATTAAAAATAACTTGAAAAAACAATTTAAAAAAATCAAACAAATAATAAAAATACATAAAATTAAAATAAAAAATAAAAATAAATATTTCTTTTTTAAAATTAAAAAAACAAAACAAATATCATTTCTGTTATTTTATTTATCTGTCTTTATATTTCTACTTTTATCAGCCTTTTCTTTTATTGATTTATTTTAGTAGTTTGGCGCTCTCACTGCTCCATCCAGAAAAAACTATTAATTATATGAAAACGTGCTTGTGTGATAATACTGGTGGAGCTCTGGAGTGTGTTTTGTGAGTAACACTAAAAAGTATGATTGTAGTATTTTAGAACCGTTTTCTAGAAAGTTTAAGAAATAAAATAATAATGATTTAAAAATATATGTGAAGAAATGTCAGAGAGATTATAAATAATAACTGTGAGTGTTTTGTATGAGTGTCAAAAAGAAAACATATTATCATCATCAGGTGTTTATGTGACGAACATCTATTATTATTATTTATGATATTTATTTACCTATGTTTACATATTTAAGGCTGCAACACCATCATCTCCTGATTTTTTTGGCCTCAAACATCCAGAACAGCTCAGGTTCTGGTTTATTTCTCTTTATTAAAAACGTGTGAGACTGTTTTTGTTTTTCTTTTTTTTTGGCACCAATAAGAGAGAAGAGTCGTGTTCTGCGCCCTGTGATTGGCCGACGGCGGAGGGGGCGTGGCCTGCGGCAGGTAGTGAAGTGGTCATACATGTGGGTCAGTGTTCCAGCAGCAGCTTACAGCGGATTACTGCATTAACGGCATTAACGTCATGTTACAGTAACGGCAGGAGATGCAGGTCAGAGCTGCCTCCCCTCCCCCGACGCCGCTCACCGCCCTCAGTCGGGTTATATAAGGGAGGTTCTGTTAGTGTCCGTGGTTCTGGTCTGATCTGTGCCGCCTCCTGCTGGACGCACCGCTGCTCTGCTGCATTCTGAGCCTGTACCGCCCCCTGCTGGTCAAACCACAGCAGCACAACGGCCCAGAGTGCTGCACAGTTACTCTTCATCTATTATATTATATTATATTATATTATATTATATTATATTATACTATGTTATAGTATATGAACATACACAATGAAACTAAACTAAAACAAAGCTAATAGATCTGTTTGGTTTTCATGTGTATTTTTGTCCGGTTAAAAACTTTAATTTAACTCTGAATTATTCATCTTAATAACTCTGTGATAATATTTATAATATTCACGCTATTTAGGTTAAGTTGTGTGATCAATACCACTGTAGGATCTCAGCTTTAATATGTGTTACACTCCGGTAAAGTTGTGTTTTTGTCATTTTTGTGTGGTTTTAATCCCTAACATATAAATTACGGAGGCGACATCACATTATAAATAACACTCCACTGTCTTAACCCAGATATTTAAACTTTCGTGGCGTCATTCTTTTCAAATCATCTTTGTTGTATTATCAGACTGCACGTTGACACGTGTTCTGTGTGGTGTTACACTGCATGTGTGGGATCTGATTTATCTGTTTGAATTGTTTCATATTTGTCTAATTTCACATTTGTTTTATTGTGAAGACAAAATATTAATAATAAAGAACGCAAGAAACCAACAGCAGCTATTAAAATAAAATAAAAACAACAACAAAGTAAAACACAGAGAAACTAAAACCAGATATAAGAACCAGACGAACCAGAACCAGGCTAAAAAAAACAAAAAACAAAAAGGACCAGATCAACTAGAACCCATGAAATCAGAACTCGAGTAAAACAATGAGAGCAAGACCAAAAAACCCAGAACCAACACGACCATCTAAACCCAGAAGGAACCAGCCCAAGAACTAGAGGAACCAGAACCAACTAGAGAAAAACAAAAACCTGATCCTGGACTGTGACATCGGAAAGAGACCAAAGATCCAAAACAACAAGAACCAGCCCAAAGAACAACAAACATCATGACTAGAACCACTGAGATTTGTAGTAAAGTAGGGATCAAACAGGAACAGCAGGACGCACCAGAACCAGAACCAGCTAAAAACAACAGAGCAATCAGACCAAAGGTCCACAGAACCGTCTGTCTGTGGTTCATGTTGTGGTTCATGTTTGGGTTTTCCGGGTCAGAACGTCGCTCCCTGAACACATCGTTGGACTCTGATGAACATTCTGCCCGTTCTGAGCAGAACCTCGGTTTCGGACCCGATGACACTTTGAATAATGAGCACATGCAGAACGTCCTCATGCTGTCACACACACACACACACACACACACACACACACACACACATTCACACGCTCGCGCGGCTGCAGCTGTTGCCATGGAAACAGGCCGATGAATAATTGATGGCGGCGAGCGAGCGAACAAAGAGCGACACTGACGAGATGAGAGAAGTGTTCAGGTTATCGCCACAGCTGCCGGCGC